CATTTTTTTTTTATTTTATAAACTAAATAATAATGTATAAATTTTAATTTTTAAATTAAAAAATTATAATAATTTTTTTATTATATAAAAAAATAATAATTATTTTTAGTTGTAATAAACTTAGATTAAAATAAATATATAGAATATTGTATTATAAAACAACTCTTAATAATTATAATAATGAAATAATTAAAATGAATAAAATATTACTTGTTTATGTTGATTTTTTGAAATAAAATTTTGCAAAAAATATAAGCAAAATGTATTTATAAAAAGTCGAATTAAATAAATAGCAAGTTTTAAGCAAACTTTATTTCATATAAACTTAAAAGTCGCCTAAAAATTAACCTTTATTAGTCGCTATTTTCATTTTAAAAAATAATAAAGTATTTATATTTGTTTAAATATTTATAAATATATTAATATTTAATAAACTAAAAGTAATTATTATTTAAAAGGACAATACGAGAGTGAATTGTTTAAATTGGATTATTTAATTTAATTATTGTTATAATGAAATTGTTTAATTACATTAATAACATTTTGTAAAACAAAAAAACAAAATGAAATAATTAAATTAAAAAAAAAACAATAAAATAAATAAAAAGCAAAAACAAAGAGAAAAAAAGTATTACTTGTTTATATTTATTTTAATTTTTTAAAAATCCAATAAAGAATAAAAAATTGATAATAGTCTTTCTTTTTGCTAATTGATTAATTTTAAAAAATAAAATATGATTAAGTAATAATTATTTATTATTATTTAATATATATATTAAAATTAAAATTTTAGAAATTTAGATAAAATAGCTGATTAAATACTTTAAAAAAATCGAAGCATATAAAAGTATAAAAATTAACACTATAAGAATAAAAGAAGAAAATAATTAAAACTTAGTAACAAAAAATAGAATATATAAATACATTAAAATATTAATAATCATAATAATAAAAGTAAGAAAAATAATAAAAAAATTAAAATTTCATAACAGTATTACTCATTAAAAAATTTTCTAAGTTTATAAAATATTTTTTTATTTTCAAATACATCATAAATAATATCTTTTTAAAAAATAATATAATTAGTAAATGAAAGACTATAATATAAATGTTAGATAAAATAAATAAATTATAATTAATAAATATTAAAATGACATTAAGAAAATAAATTTTTATATTATTATTCTTAAAATTATTAACAATAAATAACAAATAAATAATATATATATAATAATAATAATAAAGAAAATAAAATATTTATAATTTATAAAAAAATATAAAAATAATTTGAAAGCGAATAAATATAGATTTTAAAAAAATGAATTAGAAATAAATATTTAATCAATTTTAAGAAAAAGTAAATCAAAGCAAGAAGGAAAATTTATTGAACTAAAACTAAAAGTAAAATAACAACTAAGCTTAAATTTACGTTAAATATACTTAAAATTATTTAAAGGTCACAAAAGCAAATATGAATAAATTAATTTAATAAAATAAAGAAAATATAATATAATTAATTTTTTTTTTAATTAAATTAAAAAATAAATAAATAAAAATAAAGTAATATTAGATAAAATTAAAGAAAATAAAATTAATAACATAAAAGGAAAAATACAAAATTAAGAATTCATGCAAAACAAATAAAACTAAGATATTTTTCAAAATTTATAACAGATAATTAATAATTTTAATAAATAAAATATATCTAACATAAAAGATAATAAATAATATTAATTTTATAGAGAAAATTTTTATTTATTTAACATAAAATTTTAATTTTAATTTAGTATTTATATTTATTCATATTTTTTTTATTTTTTTTCGTAATTATTAAAAATTATCAAACAAATTACTTTTTTATAATAAAATTAAGGAATTATTAATTATAATATAATTAATAACTTTATAATATAGTTTACGGTATTTAATAATATCAAGTATGATTTATGAAATTAATCAAATTATCTTATAAAAAAGCAAAATTAAGATAAGATGAATATTTATAATTATTAATTATTATTTTTTTATATTTTAATAAAAAAAATATATATAATTAAAAGATATTTTTTTATATTTGTTTATTAGTTATTATTATAAAAACAAAATATGGATTTAACAAAAATATTTTTTTAAAATTAAACTTTATGATTTCATAATATTTTTTCGTTAAAAACTAAATTGAAAAAAAAAGGCTATAATGGTTTTTTTATGATTAATCTTATTTTTTAAATAAAAATAACAGAAAATATGAAAAACTATAAGCTAGTAATGTTTTAGTTAAGTAGCAAAAATTTAAATCTTCAAGCACTATTGTTCCTGATTACATATATAAATATTTGTAATCTTTTTAATAAGTGCGAAATTAAATAGAGCAATTTAATCAAATAGTGAATTTAATATAAATTATCATAGCCATCACCTAGTAAAGTATATAATTCAAAGAAATTATTTAACAGTTAATTTCTTAAATTTATATACTTTACCTAAAATATATATTTAAATTCCTTAAAATTAAATTGCCTACATTTTTAATTAATTTCACAAGTTTTTGTTTTGTTTATTATTTTTGATTTTTATAATAAAAACTAACAAAAAAATAAACAAAAGAATTTTTAAGATTTATATAATTAATTTAAAAAAAAAAAAAAAGATTATTCATATATATTTTTATTTTAATTTTTAATAATTTTTTTTTTGAGGGATTTCATGTCTCTAATATTTTTTATAATATATATTTTTTTTTTATAAAAAAAAAAAATTATTTAATTTTTAAACTTTAATTTTTCTATGTTTTTTTCTATTTTATTTAATATTTTGCAAACTTACTAATAGGAATAATATGAAAAATTATTTTTTATTTTTATAAAAAAGCAATTGTTTATAATTTTTAAAATATAATTATTATTTTATATATTATATTTTAAATTAATTAATACATATTTTTTAATGAAAAAATAAAATAAAGTCAAATAATTCGATTAAATTTTAAATAATCAATAGTTAAATTAAAAGTTTCAAAATTTATAAAAAATAAATCTAAAGTAATTTAGGAATTTAGGAATTTTTTCTGAATACAACTTAAGCTTGATAAACTATCCATAATTCATTGATTAAATAAATGAATTTGATAAATAAAATTTTCATATAGAATTATTTTAAAAGGTTATACATTTTAAAAATTATGCTAATTTTTTTTTATAAAAATAAAATAAATAAATTATAGATAAAAAAGTTAAAATGCAATTTGCCTTTTTCTTAGTAAACTTAAATAATATAAATTATTGAATAAGATATGTAAAATGGATTTATCCCTGAGTAAAGTTTTTTTTATATAAATAATTTTGCTAAAAATAATAAAAATAAAATAAAATAAAAGTTAAAAAATTACAGAAACATAGAAAATATTTGTAGATAAATTACAATAGTAAATCTAGGATAATGAAGATACTGAGTATGAAGATGATTTTAAACAATAGGAAGATTAATTTAATAGAAATTTAGAAACTGTAAATATTGAATGTTTTAATCAAATTATTTCCTTAGATTAAATAATGTAAAATAATAATAACAGTAATGCTACTAATAACAATTGTAAGTATATAGATAATAATTCAAATAATAATAAAAATAATGAAAATAATGAAAATAGTAATAAATAAAAAGTTAATTAATAAACTTAAAATATATAATAAAGTTAAAATCTTCAAAATAAAGAATAGGAATAAATAAAAAAATAAAATGGAATAAAAAAATAACAAAAAAAATAAAAAAATAAATCATATAAATGAAGAAATAGAATAATTTATATAACGCTTAGAATAGTCTAATAAATAATACAAATAATAATAAAAAATATAGCCTTAAATACCGGATTATTGGATATAATAATTAAAAGAAAAATACGTAAAATTAAAAGTAAGAATTAATAAATGAAAAGAAAAAATATTATATAATTATCAAGTAATAGATTATTTATTATAAATAAAATAATCACAATAAAAATAATGAAATTATAAATTTCTATTAAAAAATATAATTTTTTTTTTTATAATATTGATATTTTTTTTTATTTTTTTGTAATTTTATTTTAAAACGCAATAAAAACAATATGAGTAAGAATAAATATTTTCAGTTTTTTATCTAGTTTATATTAAAAATATTATAAACGTTATAAATATATATTTAAATGATTAAATATTTAAAAAGAAATTCAATTTAATATTAAATAATATCAACAAGGTTATTTTCAATAAAATAATGCTTATAAAAATGTGAATTATCAAGAAACTCATTCTTTATAATTAATACATAAATTAAATTTACAATACAATAAATTAATGTATATTAAATATACCGTTTCATTTAAATGATTAAATTTTCTTTTTTTATATTTTTGTTAAACAATGATAAAAAATATTTTTATCATCCTTCTAATTTACATATTACAAATAAAAATGTAAGTAAATAACTTAAATATATAATTCTTGATTTTATAAATTACTATATTATATTTAATATTTAAAGTAATCTTCAATATATATATGTTTATATTTTATAAAAACATACAAATAACTAAAAATTTTAAATAAAAATTAAGTATATTTATTTTCTTAAATATATGATTTATATATATTTAATTTTATTAAAAAAATAAAAAAAAATTATTAAGTTTTTTTTTTTTTATTTGTTTAGTAAATTAAATAAATAATAAAAAACACTTGTGATATTATTGAAATAAATTATATTTTTTAAAATTAATAAAATAAAAATATTTATCAGTATATGTAATTTTTTTTAAATTTTAATGCAAATTTTAAAAACTTGAAGACTTTTAAATAATAAATAAATCATCCAAATATATTATATTTAATTTAAAAAGCCTAAATTGATAAAAAAAAATTAAACACCCTTTATAATAATAAACAAATATATATATATATATATAAAAAAAAAAATGAAATCATAAATAAAAAAAAGGTAAAAATTAATATTGTTACCAATAAAAATTCTGAAACTTCATCCAAATTAGAATTTTAATGCGAAAAATAATATTAAAAACCAATATAACAAAAATCCGATAAAAACTCATATCAATATAATCCTTATAAAGATATTGAAGGCGAATTTTTTCCTGAACCAAAAACATATTTAAATGATAATCGAAAAATATCAACAAATTTAGAAAAATGGAAGAAAGATCTATTAATAAAAACAGCTGAAAATGCTGAAGAATTAAAAAAAATGCGAAAAGATCACGAAGAATCATTAAAGTTGGATTAATTAGATCCCTAAATAGACGTAGAAGCAATAAATGCAATAACAAACGATTAAGAAAATCGTAAAATGGCAATAGAAGAGGAAAAAAGCATAAAAGAAGATGAAGAAATAAATGATATAAAAGAAGAAAAAAAAGCTGATGATAAAATAAAACTAGGTTTTGAATCTTTATAAAGAAAATTAAACAAAAAACTTGTTAATTAAATGGTTTTTAGTAGAATATAAAAAACATTATAAGATAACAATATATACAAATAATAATAAAATGGAAAAATAATTGAAAAAGAAAATAATATGAATTAAATTTAAATAAATAAATAAAAAGCTTAGGATATTTTTAATACTGAATTAAGCCATTTTTAAAATACTACATTAACTAGTTTTAAGCATTTAATGGAAAATTTCCGAAAAACAACTAATTTAATAGAATTTGAAAATCTTTAATAATAAATTAACATGCAAATTAATTATCCTAAAGGAATTTTTAATAATTATAATGAAAAGGATAACATATTAGAATCTTTTAAAGATCAAAAAGAAGAAAAAAATAATTTTACAATTATGGAAAAAGTTCTTTTAGATAATTATAAATCACTTAAAACTGAAATTCAAACTAAATATAACCGAATAAGAGAATTTAGATTTGCTAATGCAGATTTGGGAAATAAATTAAAAGATTTAAATGAATAATTAAATAAATATTAGTAGTAAATTGAAGAAATGGAAAAAATTGAAACATAAACTGATTTAAGATTTTCTATGACTTTATTTTAAAATAAAAAAAAAATTTTACAAAAAATGGAATAAGAAAGACAATATATCTAAGTATTTTTTTAAAAATAAAAAATATATAAATATATTTAAATAAATAATAGAATTAATTTAAAAACGATAAAAATAATTTAATAAATTAAATAAATTTTAATAATGAAAATATAAAGCTAGACGATAAATAAATTAAACTTTTAAAAGAAAAAAAAAACATTACAAGAGATATGCTTAAACAGCATTATTTATAAGAATTAAAAAAAAATAAAGGATTATAAAATACTTCAATGGTATGGATAACTAAAGCTCTTCTAAACATAAATGAAGATGTGAATTAATCTGAAATATTTCCTTCAATTATTGACTAGTAATCAGTTTCCTATTTAATTGAGTATGCCTAATCAGAAATTAATTACGATGAATTAACTTTTATGTTATAAAAATAACAACTTCAAAATATCTCTTCAAGTAAATTAGAAGAAAATAATTTTGATAAAAATTATTTAAATACATAATATTAATATAATATTAATACAATAAAAAATAAAGTGAGTTTATACATCTAAATTTAAAAAAAAAAATAAAAAATTTAAAAAAAGGTATCAAAATTAGCTTAATAAACTGTTAAAATAAAAAATCCATTACTTATATAGAGTTCAAAAACTTCGATTCCTAATTTGGTTTGGGAAGATACAGAAAGTGCTTAGAAGTCAAGTAATGAAATAGTTTTTAATTTAAAAAAAATTCCTATAAGTAAAATGAATTTGATTTCAGCAAATAAAAATATTCGTGAATAATTAAAATAAATCAAGGTTAAATAAAATGATATCTAAAATAAAGAAATAGATCGTTTAATTAATAAATATTTATCTTTAGATGAGTCTAAATCTAAAGTAAAAAAAAAAATTTTTTTTATTTTAAACAAAAAATAACATATATATATATAGGAATTATAATAAGTCTTATATATTTTGTTTGGTTATTAAAAAGGAGATGATATATTTAAAGTTTTCCTAAAAAAACAATTATAATTAAAATTTTAATATTAAAGTAATAAAACTTTTACTTTTAGTAAAAAATTGAATTAATAAGAAACTAAATAAATAATAGAATCGAAAAAAAATAATTTTTGTATTTTATAATATCGAAATAATTAAGAAAATCAATAATTATTAATTAAGTCTATAGGAGGGGTTAATAGATCACGTAAAATTAGTGATGAATTATTAAATAATAACAACAAAAGGGGTCTTATTGATTTAAAAGTAGTACTTAAATACTAAAAACACAAAAAAATAATCACAAATCCTAATGAAAGTAATAATAATGATTATTTTTTACACTTTAATAATGATTTTCTTAGGTGATTAAGAAATATTAATTATAGTTTAAATATAATTAAAATTTCTTATTGCAAACATATTCTAATAATTTTTTCAGAATTGATTTTTAATTTTAAATTAGAATTTATTTAAAAAATTTGTAATTTAATTATTAATCTTTTATAATATTCTTTTAATGTTAATATTTTTTTTTATTAAAGAAAAAAAAAAAAAAATATTGATTAATATTTTATCTTAATCATAAAACAAATAAATATTTAAATAAAAAAAATTAAAGCAATTGTTTATTTTTTCATATTGTTTATTTTTAATAATTATCCTTTGTACTACTAAATAAGTCAGCTACTGATTATTTTTTTTGAACCCTATATATAGTTTCAGCTAATAATGGTGCTATTAAAAAAATATAAAAATAACATATAAAAAATTATCATACCAACAGATAATCTTGTAATTCTTTCAATTTATTCTTCTCCGCTTTTTTTAGGAGTAGTATTAGTAACAATAATATTATCTAATTCAGATTTTTTAATATTATCAAAAGCTTTACCATTAAAAAGACCATGAGTAGCAAAACTACTAACACTCAAAGCCCCAAAGCTTTTTAAAGTTTTAGCTGCTTCACACAATGTTCCCTTTAAAAAAATTTAAAAAAAAAACCGGATTTTTTTTAAAAAATTAGTTAGCAATATATATTACCTATAAAATATAATATTACTGCTGTGTCTATCATATCATCTACAATAATTGCATGTTTTCCTTCTACTGAACCCACCAAATTCATCTAAGCTATTTTTCCAGGTTAATCTCTTTATTTTATAATCATTGCTAAAGAACTATTTTACCTTGCTTTTATGTTAAATAATTCTTAAAATCTTTTTGCTCTAGTAACTCCTCCTGCATCAGGGCTTACAATTACCATATTTGATAAGTCCAAGCCCTATTGTTATAAGAAATAGTTTAATCCAACTAAATTAGCCTTTTTTATTATTATTTTCATATAGATATTATTTAGTTACTTCTAAATTATCCACAGGTACTTTAGGACCGAAAAAACCTTATATTTATCCACAATGTAAATCAATACATATTACTCTATCTACTCCTACGTTCTCGTAAAGACGAGCTACGTCTGCAGCACTAATAGGTACTCTAGGAGCAGTTTATCTATCCTAATATGTTATTATTTTTGTGGATATTGTATTTTTGTTATTTTTACTTAACGCGAATAGCCATAATAAGGCATTAAAACATTTATTCTTCTAGATGAAGCTCTTCTAAGAGCTGATATTATTAAAAGAAGTTCCATTATATTTTCATTTACTGGAGAACAAGTGGGCTATTTATATTTTTTTTTTATAAATTTTAATATAGAAAAGTACTTGTATGACATAAATATCTTTTCCCCTAACACTTTCATTTATCTTTTTATTTTTATTTATATGAATTTATTTTTATATTAGTTTACTGAAATATTGACTTCTCCATCTGCAAATCTTCCTATAGTGCAATCACCTAATTAAATTCCAAGGATCTTAGATATTTCTTTTTTTATTATTATTAATAATAGAACATAACGGTATAATAATTTAATTTTTTTTGTTAACCATTTGCTAAATCCTTATTTGCATTTCCTGATAAAATCATTACATTTGAACTTTAAAAAAATAAATTATTAATTATAAATAATAAATACAAAAAGTTATCCAATTCAGGTATTTTCCTTTAAAATTATTCTTTTAATTTGGCATCATATGTTTAAGAATCATGAGTATAAACATTTTGAGATTTTTAGAAGTATTCTTTTTATGTGTAAAATAAAGTTGCAAACGAAACAACTTTAAAATAATTGTAAATTTTTTAGTTTTTAGAAAAATTTTTATAAAAAGAAAAAAATAGATTCATTTTTATAATTACTTATTTAACTATATATTTTTTTATTTAATTTTTTTTTTATTTTATATTCAATAAAATTATATATATAAAATATAAAAAAATAAAGATATTAAAAATATTAATATATAAAAATATATTTATATATTTATATATATATATATATATATATATATATATATATATTATTAAAATTATATATAATTACAATTATTTTTATTTATAAAATTTATTCATATATTTTTTTTTAATAGTTTATATATTTATATTTTTCTCTTTATATTAATTTAATTTCAGATTTTTATATTTGATTTTTTTAATATCTTTTATATTAATTTAAAATATATATAATTTTTTTTTTATTATTTATCTAATTTTCCAATATTATAGAATTTATATAAGAAATTATTTAAACAATTATTTTATTTTTTATATTTTTTACCATTTTTATTAAATTAATAATTATTTTATTTAATTTATTTTCTTTTTTTTTAAGAGTTTTTTATAACAAAAGTTTGATATTTAATTTATTCTTATTTTTTTTATATTTTTAATAATTTATTTATTTGTATATTTTTTTTTATAATATATGAAATAATTTTATTTAATTTAATACTATTAATTATTAAAAATTTTTTAACATCAGTATTTGCTTTTTATATGAAATTTTAAAATATTATATATTAAACATAGTTATATTATAGTCAACTATTTTTTTTTAAATTTGAATTTCTTTTTATATTATGAATATATATTTTCAAACTTTAGATATTTTTTTAAATATTTTTAAATATTTTTTTTATATTTATGTTAATTTAAATATTATCATATCCATTATTTTTAGATTTATCATAATACATGAACACAAGATAGTTATATTATAAATAAGCAGATGATAAAAATTCATATTATAACTTTTCTAATATATTTTTATTATCATATGAAAATTTAATAATACCAAAGTAAAAATTGTTATTATTATAACTCAAATTATAAATTATTTTTTTCATAAAAAATATATAATAATGTAAATTATTTTATCTTTCGTTATTTAAACTTAATCAAAAAATTAACAATTCAATATTTAAATGGTTTTAATAATTTAATTGTTTACTTAAATTTATTTTATTAAAAGACTTTTAAAATAATTATTAAAATTGATACAAAAACATATATATTTAAAAAATATAAAATATATTTTAGCGGTAATAAATTATATAATTATATATAGATTGTATTTTTAATTTATATATAAAATATAAAACAATCAAATTTATTTTTATGAATACTCAACAATTCGAAGCAGAACAGTTTTTCAAAATATCATTTCAAAATTACTTTTAAGATAAATTAATATCTTTAATAACTTTAAATTAAAATGAAGACGAAAAGTATAAAAATAAAAAGATAAATAAATAAAAAAAAAATTAAATAGGATTATATAAAATTAGTTAGAAGAATTAATTTTAAATTTTTCTAACTTTTCGATTTAATTATCTATAGACTTTTTGAAAAAACCAAAATAATTAGTATAGAAAATAATATATGAAAATATATTACAAACAAAAAAAAGTAGTTAAAATTAAAATAACACTTTATTTAATGATTATATTGTTCAAAAATTATCAAAAGTATAAAAACTAATATTAACTAAACATATATATTTTTTTTATAATACAAAAAGGAAGTATAATAAGAATGGAATATTTTTATAATTTTCCATTAATTTTCATTAAATTAAAATGCAAAAACGATGTAAATTTTTGAAAAAAAGTTAATAATGAACATTGATAGATTAAAAATAAATTTAAAATTAAATGAAAATAATAAATTTGAAAAATTTATTGATAGAATATTTGACAAAATCATGTAATAAACACATATAAATTAATAGAAATATTTAAATTTTTTAATAAAATTTTGCATATAAAATGATTTTGAAAATTAAATAATAACAAATTTAGAAAATAAAAAATAAAGTTATATTTAATTGTAGAAAGTTAGTCCTGTATTGCAAGAAAAAAAAGATACAAAATTATAAAAAATGGAAACTAATATCCTTTAAGATTTTATAAAAGATGATTATTACGAAAGAACGTAATTTAATTTAATTGATTAAAAGTCAAAAACAAATAAATTATCCGAGTAATAAAATACTTGTACTACAAATAACTATAAATCAAATTAATTGTAATAAAAAAGCATATAATAACAAGAAAATATTAAAATAAATAATTTTAAAAATAAAAATAATTTTAACTTTAATAATAATAATGATAATGTTAATTTATTTGCACATAAATTTTTTAATACTAAAGAAAAGTCTAGTAGTATCAATGATTTTTCTAGAGAATTAAATTAACAAATAAAATAAAAACAAATGGTAAAAGAGAGAACCATTTACTATTCATCTGCTTTAAATAAAAAAATAATTAAAAATAATTTGAAGAAAAAATCAAATTAAGTTAAATAATTTAATTAGATTTAATCAAACGAACTTTAATAAAAAAATAATTCAAAAAATTAATAGAACGACATAAATTTTAATAATAATAATGAAGAAGATTCTAATCCTTTGACAGGCATGTGGGGATTTTTGAAAAAAAAAAAAAAAAAAAAAAAAAAAAAAAACAAGAAAAAAAAAGAAATAGTTAGAAATAACTTTTTTTCAATTATTTTATATAATTTATATTTTTAATTATTTTATTTTTGATTAATAAAAATATAATAAATAAATAAAGAATATAATAATATTTTGTTTTATTAAATTAAAAAATTATATAAAAATGATTAATATAAGAGAAATAAATATACTTAAAGGCGCTTAAAAGTTTAAAGGAGATAAAAAATTATACTTTAATATGTTGAAAACATTTGATTAGCTAACATTAGATGAATGTTTAGCAAAAATATATTATTATATAATTGATTAAAAAGATCTTGTTTTAGCAAAAAGAGAATTAACATAACTTTAAAATGCCTCTTAAACAGTAGAAGCAATAGGCTTATTTTAATAATGTGAAAACTTTTATAATCAATTATAATAAATAGAAGGAATACATGAATAATAATTTCATGCATTAATAAAATTTGATAATTTTTTAGAAAAAATAACTGAATTTAAAAAAGAAATTTAAAGATTTTCAGAAAATTAAAATAATTAAAACTTAAAATTCATTGAAGGCATCCAAAAAGATGTACGATAGCTTTTACAAAGCATAAATTTGCAAAATTCATAAAAGGAATCTATGAAGTAAAGTTATTTTTAAAGAAATGATAATTAGTAAAATATTGAAAATAGAAATCATAATAAATAATTTTTCTCTAATTATGTAAATTAGAGTTTATTTAATAAATATTATGATAATTTTGATAATATTTAAAATATTAATAATATTAGTGATAATAATATATAAAATGAAGATATATTTTAATCTCATTTTTAAGAAAAAAACCTTAATATAAATTTAAATAATAATAACTAAAGTGGCCAATTTATTTTAGATAATAATTAATCTCTATAATAATAAGAATAAATTAATATATAAGATAAAGCAAAATGTGCATGTATAATTTTTTGATTTTTTTATTTTTTAAAGAAATTTGGTTTTTATATTTTTTAGTTTTATTTGTTTTTAAAATATTATTTTTTTATTTATTTGATAAACATCATTTAATTTTTAGCTTTTTTTATAAAAAATAAATAAAAAGAAATGCTTTTTTTTATCATTAAGTTTAATAAATATTCATAAATTTTTAAAAATATAAAAAAATTTTTTAATTATAACATTTAAAAGAACTAATTTATAATAAATATTATAACTAATTATAATTTATTTGCATATTAAATTATAATAATTCAAGTATATACATTTTTCATCTAATTTAAAATTGACTAAAAATCATTTAGAAAATATTTTAAACTAAACAAATATAGTTATGGTAGTTAAGGTTGATTAGTTTGTATTTAAATAATTCAAATAAAATATTGAGATTAAATAAGAAAATAAAAAATTTATAAATATTTTTTATTTTAATAGTAATACTTTATTTTAAAATTTTATCTAAATAAATAAAATAAAAGAAAAAAATCACTTAACTAATTCAAATTTCGTTTATCCAGCAACTTTAGAATTTTGATATTTTCCTAATTTTTCATTATTAATAAAGCAACTAATAAGTTTTTCAATTCCATCGTATAAACCTTCCCCTGTTTTAGCTGAACATTTTTAAATAATAATGTCATTTTCACAAATTTAATTAACTCCTGTTTCCTCTATGAGCGTTTTAAAATCGATACATTAATCATGTAAATCTTATTTATTAAAAAATACCAAAATAATACTATTTTAGTAATTTAAATCATAACTTAATTTACGTAATTCGTCTTTTATCTACCATAAAGAATCTTTATTAGTTGAATCTATAACAAATATAACCGCGTCTAAATTATTATAATAATGACTCCATAAAGATCGAAATTTGCCTCCTACATCAAAAATTAAAAATTGAAGGTTTTTATACTATATTGTTTCTATGTTTATTCCTATAGTTGGGACAGTTTCTACAAATTTGCTAATTTTTAATTAATTTAATATAGATGTCTTTCCTGCTCCATCTAATCCTATTATAACTATTTTCTTTTTTTAGCCTTTGGATGATATTTAATTTACTCCATCTTTTAAAAGTTTTAATTTTGGATTAAGAATACATCCCATTTTTAATAATTTTTTTTATTTGTTAAAAATTCCTTTAATTAATTATCTTTATTAAAAGCTTGTAGGTTTTTTATTTTTAATTTTTATTTTCTATATAATATAAATAATTATTATATTTCTATATTTATTGAGCTTTTTTCTTGATAATTTATTAATATTTTGACTTATTCGTAAATATTAAGTAATATTATAAAATAATGATTTTTTTATCTTCCGATATATATTATTTTTTCTTGAATATTTTTATTTAAAACAATTGCTCTCTTATTTTTTTTATATAATATAAGATAAAAATTTTATTTGACATGTTTAAGAATTTGATAATTTTAATATTAAAGTTATGATGTTAAAAAATATAATATAAATAATAAAATAAAAAATATTAAAATTTATTTAATTTTATTAATTATGATAAAAAATATTATTAATATGAATATTTTATTTAACTAATGATTTGTTGTATTTAAAAAAGTTATAAAAAATTATCAAATAGTATTTATTTTATATATATATTATAATGTATTTTTTTTTTAAATAATTTAATTTCTTTTACCTCTATTTACTAAATAACCATAAATTTATTTCCTTAATTTAACTAATTTATATGTATTTAAAAATAATCATATAAAAATTATATAAGATTTTTGTTAAAATACATTTATTAAATATTAATTATAAAAATTAAAAATATTATAAAAACAAAATATATTTACAAAAAAATGAATAACCTAACTTATAATAATATTATTAATAACGATTCTAATTACAATAATAATAATAATTAATTCCCAATTTCATAGTTAAATGCTTAATAACTTTTAATTTTATTATAACTTTAATAATACTTGTAGGCTCAGTAATTATTATAAAGTCTACCATCTTCTTCTTTACAGAATAAAAATAAAACTATATAAATTGAATAATGTTTAGTAGTTGAAAATGTAGACTCTACATGCGAGAACTCTCCAAATCCTAAAGATAAAATAGATCCTCCACTGAAACAGTCTGAAGTAATTAAAATAAAGAATAAAAAAAGTAAAGAGAATCTAACTCAAAAAGTTATTAACTAAAAAAGAAATAAGATAATAAAGAAAAAAATGTAATACATATAAATTTTACTAAAAATCTTCTTAAATCTTTTAGAAGATATATATAAAAATACCATAAAAATGACTCAAAAATATAAGAACAAATAAAATTTGATTTTAATAATAAAACTATAAATAACTAATTACTTTTACATTTTATGACATCTTCTATGACAAGTAAATATTTTGAACTATTTGTTGATGGACCTGCATAAACATGGGTAAAAGAACAAAGTAGGCTAAAAAAATAAGATTAATAACTTTAACTAATAGAAATTTGTAGAAAAAGGATTTTTAATAAAATAAAAATTAAAAAAAGCTAATCTATAGATAATAAATCAGATAATGAAGATCTAATTAAAATTGAAGAGTGACTATTTTTTTTTAAATAATTTATTTAATATAATTGATAATTATATAAAATTTATTCATATTAATATTTATTACTTTTTAAGCCTTTATTCTTTATTTATTTTTAAATTAATTATTTTTTGTGTGTAATTTTAATATAAAATTATTTGTAGCTTTATCTACTTTTTATAATTATGAATAAAAAAAAAAGATTAAATAATTTAAAATTTTCTTAAAATAAAATCATATTAAACTTTTTAAATAATATATATATTATATTAATTATCTTATATGTGATATAAATATTATAAATGAAAAAAAAAATATTAATTTAATTCATATTTTTATTTAAAAAAAATAACATTTATTTATTCATAATTTTATTATTATTTTATATAAATCGAAATATATTTTATAAATTATAATTTTTATAAAATAATAAAAAATTATATTAATTTTTTCAAAATAAATAAATAATTGCATTAAAAAATTATATGATTTATATCAAATTAAAATTTTATTGTAAATTATTTAATATATTAATAATCTATATTATTGGCTTTATTAATATTATATAAAACTTGATAAATATAAATAATGCCAAAAATATTTTATATTTATTAATTATATATTAAAATACTTTATTTATATTATTGATTTTTTTTTTGTGAATCGAAATTAAAAAATATTTGATTAATTTATATAATAAAATAAATTCATTTATTTTTATATCCTATCATAAATAATTTTTTAATTTTCTACATATAAATTTGTTATATTTTTTTTTTCAATTATTATTTAAATTCTAATTTTTTTATATATATAAAGAAATATGTGTTATTTAATTAAATATTTAGTATGCCTTAAATTATATCAATCGCATAAATGTATTATTTTTTATCAATTTTAAAGTAATTTTTAAATTATTTAACTTTATCATTATCTTCTAATATTTACAAAAAATTTTTATATAAAAAATTTGTTTTTTTATTTTTTATATTATAAAGGCATTTGTATATTGTATATTTATAATTTTTTAATAAAAAATGTTTTGTTAAATAATCTAAAAAAAATTATGTATTTTTGTTGAAGTTAATCTGAATGTATTTGTTTTTATTTTTTTAAAAAAACTATAATTGATATAATAATTTTTATAAATATTTGAATTTTGGTTTTATAAGTAAGATCGTGTGTCTTTATGTTTGAAATGATACTTAGATTATTTTTTTTTTTTGATTTAATGAGATAAAACTTTATTATTTGCTTATTTCTAAAAAGCATAAAAGCCTATTAAATTTAAAAATTGTATTTATTAAATTTAATTTAATTTTATTATATATATATATATATTTATATTAATTTTTTAAAATATTACCCTTTAATCTTTAATAAATAAAAATAAAAATGAATTATTTTCTAAAAAAAATAGAAAAATTAAATTTTTATGCAATTTAGATTGCTTATTAATTACAATTTTTAAATTATACAAACCATTTTTACTTTAGTAAGAAGAGGTTAATTTTTGTTTATTTTTAATATTTATGATATGCTTTTAAATTTTATAGAATAAGATAATTTAAAAATATATCTATTTTTATAACTTTTTTATTTTTTAATTAAGTATAAGTTTTAAAATAATATTACAGATAAAATATATAAAACAAGAACAAAAAAATATAAAAAACAGTAATTTCAAGAATAATAATGTGACCTCCATCATTAAAGTTGGATATTTTTTATATAAATTGCTTTGTAAAAGATTTACTAACAAAAAAAAATGCAAATCTGTTTATATGTCAAGCAATTGTGTTTAGATTTATGCCAAAAAATTCCGATTCCAAACAAATTTTTTAAGATTGAAAAGACTTTAAATAAAAAAGTCTGTAAAACTATTGCTTTTAGATATATTCTGGTTTTACATAATGTATTTAAATTAATTAAATAGTATGTATATATATAAGTATTTTTTAATACATTAAATACTAGTTTTCAATTTATTATTAATTTAAATCATCTAATATATTTTCAAAAGTTAAAAAGTCATTAAAATAAATAAAAATTAAATGAATTATAAACTAAAACAAAAATATATTTCAAAAAAAAAATCTATATATTTATATATTTATATTTAGATATATAAAAATTTATAAAAAGTAAATAATTTTATCAATTACACAAAAATTCCTTTCTCATATCTTTATTAGTTGAAAAAATACCTCCAAAAGCATAAGTTGTAGTAGTACTATTTTGATCCATAATCCCTCTTGCTTTAACACAGTAATGTGTAGCATCGATATGAACGGCTACATTATCTGTTTCAACAATAGTCTGTAAAGCTGCGAGAATTTATTATGTTAATCTTTCTTATACTTAAGGTCTTTAAGAAAAGAATTTTACTATTCTATTTATTTTAGAAAGTCCTAAAACTTTGTTTTTAGGAATATAGGCAACATTTGCATAACCATCAAAAGTAATAAAATGATGTTCACAAGTTGTGGTAAAAGAAATTTTATTAACTTTAACCATTTCATCATATTACATTTTATTATCAATGGTTGTCATAGCAGGAAAATTTTCATAATTTAATCCACTAAATATTTCATTAACATACATTTTTGCTATTCTACTTGGAGTATCTTTTATACTATCATCCATTTAGTTTAAATTTAAAATTGATAATATTTATGAAAAACATTCTTAGATTTTTTTTATTTATTCATCTTTCGATTATTCTGTTTTTCTTAATATAGGATTTTCCACTTATCTATCTTATAAGGATTTTTAAACATTTTTTATTATTTCCTGTTACTATTCGTCTGACATTCTATATTAATTTCTATTTTTTATTTATATCAATTTTTTTATTTCTTTTATTTTTATTAGTGCAATTTATATTATTTTTATTATTTTTTAAAAAACAATTATTTATATATAGTGGTATTTAAGTAAAATATTCATAAATAAATTTTAATATAGATTTAATAATAAATAAGAAAAAAAAAGAAAAAATCAACATTTTTATTAAAAATAATTTATAATAAATATAAAATATAATATTTGTACATAGAATTGTATTTTTTATAATAAACTTTTATAATTTAATTTGTGTTTTATATTATAACTTTTATAAATTTAAAATATTTTAATGATTTTTATATTCAAAATATTAAATTTTATNTTTTTTTTAAAAAAAACACAAAATAGTTTTTATTCTTATTTTTTTAAATTAAAATTAAATTGCAGAACTTTTATAAAAAATTAATACAAGTAAATGAGTTAAATTCCTTAAGATAATAGTTTATTTGATTTCAATAATTCTTTAAGATGCCCTCATATACAATCTACATTTTTATAAGGTAATTAAAATAAATTTATTATTACATTTTTTATTCATTGATTAATTATATAAATAATATGTATATAATATAATACTTTTAGCATAAATAATAATTATTCATTAATTTTAATAAAAATAAATAAAAACTAGAAAACAATTTGAATATTTCAAATATATTTTATAAAAGTTTATAAAGTCCTTTTATAAATCAAAGTTCTTTTATAAATCAAAGTCCTTTTATAAATAAAAATCCTTATACAAATCAGAATCCTTAATTATTAAAACCTTATGAAACTCCAATAGATAATTTACATCCAAAAGATGATTTATCAAATAGAATGTTTAACGATTTTAATAAAAACAGTAGTATATATTTAAAACAACATTACAATTCTTAATTATATTAAAATTAAAATAATTAAACGGTGATAGTCTTTTTACCGATGTTGCTCTTTTTTAACTATGGCCTAATATACCTTTGGAAAATAATAATTTTAACATAAGCACAGATATGTAAAATATTAATAAAAATATAAATATTAATGCTGACGAAAATGAAAATAAATAAAAACAAATAAGCGAATTGTTGGAAATAATAAAACCTATTGAAATTTAATAATAGATAATTTTTAATTAAGAAAGTAATGAAAATGTGTTATTTAAAAAAAATAAAAAGAAAAGAGGACTTAGAAATTTAAGTCTTAAGGTACAAAATATTGTATTTTAATAGAAAGAAACATCATATAAATAAGTAGCTGAAACATTAATAAATAATCTTTAATTAGATAATGAATAAGTTATTTATTTTATTCATTAATATTTTATTTTATATTCATTTTAGATTGAAGAAGAATTTAAAAAAAAAAAGATTAAAAAGATGAACCAAACATAAGAAGAAGAACTTATGATGCTTTAAATGTTTTAATTTCAGCTGGTATTTTATAAAAAGAAGGGAAAAAAATTGTTTGTTATAAAAATATTCATGCTTATTCTAAAAATATATTTAAAGATAAAAAACAGATAACTATTTAAATAGTAAAATTAATAAGTTTTTATCTAAAAGTAAATATTAAATTATTAAAAAGGCTTTAAAAAAAAGAAATATAAGATTAAATTATTAGAGAATTTAGGATTTAACAAAATAATAAAATATACTATAATCTTTAATAGAGAGAAATAAAAACTAATTATAAAATGAAAAATAAAATTAAAAAAAAATAATGTTTCCATTCATTTCTATATAACTTCCTTAAAACAGGGTAATATTAATAGATATTTATATTTATTATAAATTTTTTAAATATTATTTTATTAGATAAAGATTTAAGAATATTAAAGTAAAAAAAAAATAGAAATTGGATCATTTGAAGAGATAAAGTTATTGGGAGATGTTGATATATTATTAAAATATTATAAATCATTAAGTAAATTAGAAATTAAAAATTATACAAAAGATTACGAACTAAATTGTTTTTTATAATAGTTTAATAAAAATATTTTAATGTGATATTATTATTTATAATTAAAAAAAATATTAAATTTTAATAAGTATTTTTATTTATTTATTTAAATAATTAAAATAATTTTCTATTATATTATATTAAAAACATTATATCTATTTATTATTTAAATATTTATTTAAATAAGAGTTTAATATTTTAAAAAAAATATAATATGTAAAAAATTATATAAATTAAATAAAATATTAATTGTAAAATAGAAAATTTAAAATCTTATATAATTAAATAAAAAAATTTCCAAAAAATAGATATAAAAATATAAAATAAAAATAAATATATATATATTAAAATTTATATATTTATAATAAAAAATAAATTAATAATTATATTTTTAATATATATATTTATTTTATATTTATATATTTTTAAATATTATATATTAATATAATTATTTATATATTTATTTATTTTCTTTTTTATTTAAATTATAAAGTTTTTTCTTAGTAGTTTTATTTTTCATTAAAAAGTTGTCCATTCAAATATTTTTTTTTTTAAACAAATATATATTAATATTCTTTATTATTATTTTATAAAAATTTAAATATATATTTTTAATTTCATATTTTATTATTTTTTTTAAATTGTTTGTTATATAATTTCAAAATATTTATAAAAAAAAATTATACTGTCATTTTTTCAATTTTTTTTTTATATTTTATTGTATTATTTAAATAATTTTTTTATATATATTTAAAAATCGTTGTTAGTCAAGTTTTTTTTTTTAATTGCTTTCTTTTTAAATCTTAATTAAACTTAAATTTATCTAAATTCAGATAATAGATATGAAAATTAAACTATTTTTAATTATAGATTTTGGAAATAAATGTCATAAATATGGAAACCAATCAAAGAAAATTCAAAACCGACTGAATAATAATATAATAATGAAAATAATATATAATTTTTAAAAATTTTTATTAAATATTATCTTATTAAATATTTTATTAATTAAATTAAAAATATTATTTTATATATTATATTAAATTTAATCTTTTTTTTTATATTTAATTTAAATTTATTATTTAATATTATAAACATTTTCCAAGTGTTATTTATTTTTTATCTTATTTTAAAACAAAAAAAATTGTAAAAATAAAACATATTTTTTATATTTATTTAAATAAAATAAATACATAAATTTTTATTTTAATCTTTAAAATATTTGATAGAATTTTTTTTTCTTATTTATTTAATTAGTGTTTAGTTGTAATGTTTATCTAAAAGTATATCTATAATAAATTATTTTTAATTTATTTATAATATTTCCCTTTTAAAAATCCTAAACTCTATTTTTTATATAAAAAATTAATAGTTTCTATATATAGATGTAGTTACTTCTTCTTTATTTAAGTATTTTGGTACTTTATATTGTCATTAATTTAAATTGTTGGTTGTTAAGGGTTTTATATAATGATTCAAAGCAATTATTGAAAAAATATATTTCTTTTTTATGACATTTTTATAAAATAATATATAATTTTTGAAATTTTTTATTTAATTCAATTTTCAAAGAAAACTAACCTTAAAATTTATGTAATTTTTTAAAAACAATTTTTATATTTTAAAAACTTTTAATATATTAAATTAGTATTTATTAAGGTATATCATTTTAATAAAAAATATAATCTTTAGTATTGCTTATATATTAATTTATCTAATAACTTGTTTCGAGACTTTTCCTATGAAATTTATGTAAAATTAAAAAAATAAATAGAAATTCTAATTATATTAAAACTCTTAAAAACTTATAATATTTTTTTTAAAAATTATAAATTTAATTTAATAATATTTATTAAACAACTTCTAATTCACTATAACATAAATTAAATAATATTAATTTGTTTTTGAATTTTAATCAGATTTTATTATGGAAAAGAATTTAAATGAGTCATATAAAAAAAGTAATAAAAAGATAATATCTTTTTTTCCATTTTAATAAAAAACAATAGAGGACATCAATTAACCTTTTTTTTTAATCCATATAATATATGGTTTTTTAAAGTATATTAAAAAGTAAGTAAATATAAAAATATATAATACATAGCTTATTTAATAAAATAAAACATATTAAAGTATTTATTATAATAAATAATATGAGAAATTATTTAAATAATAAAATATTAAATATAAATATATTATTATTAACTTAAAAATTAATCAATTTAAGTGTTTTATTTTTATAATATCTTAGATTTGTATTCTTATTAATTGTATAAATTATTAATCTAAGACAATAAAAATTGATTATTTAGAAATTTATAAAATTATTTTTATACATAAATTTAAAACTAATAATATTTAGTTTTTAATGATTAAAAATTAATTTATATTTATTTTATGATAAAAAATAAGGAATTAAAATATATATGTTAGAAATTTAAAAATACATAATCAATAAATAACTTAAAATATAATTAAATTAAAATTAATTCATTACAAACATTTAAATTTTAATATAATATTTTTTTATTTCTTGATTTAAAATTTTATAAGAATTAATTGAGATTTTATTAAAAATTTAAATTTTTATTTAGATTAGATTAGATTATGTAAGGGTATTTCAAAATTAATAAATTTATATTAATATATATTATTTAAAATATACAATAAGATTATTATTTATAATTTAATTTTTTATCGTAATAAAATTTTGTTAACTTATCATTTTCTAATAAGTTTACATCTTTTTCGAATAGTCTTCCCAATAATTTAATAACTTATATATAGCCCAATTATGGATAGTATCGGACAAATATTTTGTCAAAAGAAGCGAAAAAAAAAATAGAAATATAGTTATACCTTTATGATTTTATAAATTTTTTATAAAATATTTTTTAGATTTTTTGAATAAATAATTAAATATTTTATTAATATTTTTTAATTTTTAATAATAAAATAAATAAGCGTCAAACCGTGCTTTTTTTCTACTGTATTTTTTGGGGAAAAGTAAAAAAATGCTAAAAATATAATTTAATATTATTTTAAATAAATAGAAATATTTAGTTAAATACTAACTTTTATAAAAATATTAATTTTTTATTATAAACATTTAGTGTTTTTAATATAATTTTATATGATTATGTCATTTATTATCTGCAAGCAAATATAATATTTTTTTTAGGCCTTATATATAATATAAATATATTATCTATAGATTTTAATTTGATAAAAATTAATTTATTTTTTAAAAATAAAAAATATTTTTATCTTATTACTTTTTTTTGATTTTTATTTTAATTATAATTAATTGTAATAAAATATTCTTTTAGAAAAAAGAATAAAATTCTATTATATTTTTTGATGATATAATAGAAAAAATAATATAATTATTTAATTACACATGTTAATTAATAATATGATTTCAATTTAATTAATAAAAATAAACATATAAAAAATATTTTTATCTAAAAATAAAAAATAATAATAATAATAATTATATTAAAAAAATTAAAAATGAACAAACTTTTATAACTAATATTATTAACTATAATTATAAACAATTGTTATACATTATATAGCTCAGATACTAAAGTAGTATAATTAACCAAGAATAATTTTGAATCTTTAGTATTATAATCAGATGATTTTTGGCTTGTTGAATTTTATGGTAAAAAAAATATAAAATAATAATTAAATAAATAAATAAATAAAGCCCCTTGGTGTGGACACTGTAAAAACTTAGCTCCTGAATGGGAAAAAGCCGCAATAGCGTTAAAAGGTTATGCGAAAATAGGCGCAGTAGATATGACATAAGAATAAGTATAACTAAAAAAAATTAATAAAAAAATAACACAAAAAAAAAAAAGGAAGTTGGAAGCCCATATGATATTAAAGGATTTCCTACAATAAAGTTTTTTGTAGGAAACAAATAAAGCCCCTAAGATTACAATGGAGGAAGAACAGCAAAAGATATAATAACATTCTTATTTAATGAATAAAAAAAAGTAGCTTTAAACCGTCTAAAATCTCCAAAATAATAATAGGCTAATAATGAAAGTAATAAAAATAACTCTTCTAATTAATAAGATTCAGGAACATGTAATGGAAATAATGAATAAGCAACTTGTGGAGGAAATAAAGAATAAAGCAATTCTGGAGAAAATAACGAATAAGCTGGAAATAATAATACTTAAGAAAATTTAGAAATAGAAACTGATGGAGATGTAATAGTTTTAACAAATGATAATTTCGAAGAATTAGTATTGAAAAGTTAAGAAGCTTGGTTTATCAAATTTTACGCTCCTTGGTGTGGTCATTGTAAAAGTTTGTAACCTGAATGGGAAAACTAGCAACTAATTTAAAAGGAGAAAAAATTAATGTTGCTAAATTAGATTCCACTGTAAATACTGATATTTCTTAAAGATATTAAGTTAATGGTTATCCTACTCTTAAATTCTTCCCTCCAGGATCTAAAAATGATTCTGACAGTATTTTTAATATATATAAAAAATTTTATTTTTTTAATTTTATTTTAAGTCATTGATTATAGTGGAGGAAGAGATGCTTCTACATTAGAAAGTTGGGCCAAAGAATAAATAAATAAATTTTAAACAAGCTATATTCCTTTAATTAACTAATTAATAAGAATTTGATGAGCATTGTGTTAATTTTAATGGAGTTTGTATAATCTTTATTTACCTCATATCTATGATTCTTCAGCAGCTTAGAGAAATAATTATCTCAACTTAATTTAAGAAATTATTGCATCTAATAAAAGTAAACCTATCAATTATTTATGGAGTTAAGCTGGTGACTATTATGATTTTGAAGAAAAATACGGAGTTTCTAGTAGTGGTTATCCTGCAGCTATTGCTATGTCTCATAAAAAAAATGTTTATACTTTATTCAAAGGTACTTTCAATTTGAAAAATCATGAAATGTTTATGAAAAAACTTATTTCTGGAAAAAGTGATTTTAAATCATTAATTGGTATTCCTAAATTTACAGATGTTAGTAAATGGGATGGAAAAGATTCATAAGAATAATAACAAAATTAAGAATTATGATGATAAATTAAAATTATAATTATAAATATACAAATAGTGTAATAGTTTTTTTATTAAATATATATTATATATTATTTTTTTGTATATTTATTTAGATTTTATTTTATGTTAAAAAAAAAAATTTTGTTTGGAAATATGAAATTAAAAGATAATTATATTTTTATCTTTAATATTTATTTTTTTATTTGTAAATAAAATATTTATTTTATTTTCAAATAAAATTATAAAACAATACTATATATATGAATTTTTATATTTTTTTTTTTAACAATTATTCCAAATATTTATTAAAATATAATTCACTTCTAAAAAAATTATTTTACACTTGACATTGAATATTGAAAATATACTTTATTATTTAAAAAATTTTAATATATATTTAATTAATATTTTGAAAACCAAAAAGAATTATTTTTAATATAAGAAACGTATTTAGTATTTATATAGTTAATATATATTTATTTGTTTATTAAAAATAATAAAATATTTTTGATTAAAAATTAATATTAAAATCAATTAATTATAATAAATATCTCAAAACATATCTAATATTTAAATCATATTAAAGTAGTTATGTTATAAAAACTAGAAAATTTACTGAAAAATAATGAAATCTAGAGAAGGAAATATTTCCATTTTGAAACTTTATTTTGGTAAAAAAATCTAAGTGATTTAAAAAACTGCTTTTTTGAAATAATAAAATATGGTTTATTGACTATTATAAATCTAATTTAAATTTTAGATTAAGAACCTGTTATTGATGTAATTAAAAGGCTGTTTTCAATACTATTTTATATTTTTAAATATATTTTTTTTATATTGTATTATAACTTTAATACTTTTTTTTTATAATTATTATAAAAATATAATTTTTTTAGCTTATATAAATTTTATTAATAATGTTTTAATATAAATATTTAACAAAATATTTGAACTGTTAATATTAAAATTTTGAAGTTATAATTTTAAATTCAGTAACTCAATAATTTATAAATCATAATTCATAATTATATAAAAATATTCAAAATAGATTATTTCTCTGATTTTCTTCTTTTTTTTTGGAAATTATTAAATTTTTTATAAAAATTCTCTATATTTAATCTATAAATGTAATGAGTATTTATAAATAAAAATTGCTTAAATATAAATATAGATATAATAATAGTACTTTTATGTTTTCTTATACTAATATTAAATGATTTAAAAAAAAATATTAATACTAAAATATGTATACTACCAAAATTAATTTTTATTATTTATGATATATATATATATATATATATATATATATATATATATATATATATATTTATATTTTTATATAAAAATTCTAAATTGTTATGAATAAAATAATTTCCAAAAAAATAAAAATAAAGTAAATTATAATGGATAACATAATATTTAAAATATATCTAACATAATAAAAAATAAATAAAATTAAAATATCAAAAAAATACAAATAAATAAAATTATTTAATTATAAAATAAATCATTAAAAGATGAAAAAATAATTAAAATAAATATAAAATACTTTTATAAAATAATATGTAAAAAAATACTATTTATAAACTAGAAATTCTTAAATTATCTTTATAAAAAAAGGAATTAAGTTTGATGATAATACTTCTAAAAAAATAAAAGAATATTTATTTAATATTAATAGATAACTTAAACTCTAATTATTTAAAAATAAATTTTATTAAAAATAAAATTAATTTTCTAAAAATCAAAAAATCTATTAAAGATTTATTTTATATTAATCAAAATTAATAGTTACTTAAATCAAATGATTAATTAAATTAAAATGTTTAAAGCAATGTATTTTTTATCAGATTTAATTAATATAATTAAGAAAATAAAAAAAATTAAAAATATAGAAATTAATATAAAATTATAGTAAAAATAAATATTTATGTACTAATATTTATAAAAAAGATATTAATTCAACTTATATCTATAAAAAATAAAATTAAAATAATAATAATAATAATATTAAAATGTAAAAAATCAAAAACAAATTATTTATTTTTGAATTCTGAAATTAAAAAAGAATATTTTATTTAATAATAAGATATATATTATTTAAATATAAGAAAACTTATTTATTTTTTTTAAAAAAATTTAATATAGTAATAATATTTATATATATATATATTAATATTTATATTATAATTTGTTTATATAAAATTACTAAAAATAAATAATTATATATAAATTATTTCTATGAATTAAAAAGAATAATAAATTAATAATAATAATAATTATTATATAAATAAATATATATAAATATATAATTTATAAATATTTTAAATTATATATATATTTATATATTTATATTTTATAAAATTTCATTTAATTATTTATTAATTATTTATTTTTAATATATAATAAAAATTTTTTAATTTGTGTCTTTTTTTTATTTTATAATTGTATATCACAAAACATAAAAATATATAAAATTATTTTTAAAAAAATGGAATAAAGTAAATTAAGATAAATCAATTCTATTTAAACTAATAGTTTTGATTAATTAATAGAATAGTTTTCTAATTAATATGAATAAGATTCTTAATCAGATTAAGAAAAAAAATAATTAATTAATTTTTATTTTTAAAAATAATTTTATAAAATTCGTTCTAAAATTTTATATGTAATAGCAACTTCAAAAAACTAAAATGTAAATAAAACATAAAAAAAAGAAATTAATTATAATAAATAGTGTTTATATAAATATACTAATTTTTAATTAGCTTTATAATTATGGTAAAATGATTCTGATTACTAAAACTAATTTTCTCAATAAATAAATGAAGATTTTCTATTAGATTTTATTGATAAATGCATACATTTAGAAATAATTAGTTTAATATTAAAATAATATAAAAATAATAAAAAGGAAAATTTTTACAACAATTAAAAATTTTGTGAATCAATAAGTAAAATAATTGATTAAAAAATTGAATTACTGTCAAGCAGTTATGAAAGTGATAACATTTTGCATACATATATATTAAAAGATATATTAGAATAAAATTAAAATAATCAGAATAATTTAAATGTATATACAGAATAGTAACTACAATTAATTTATTAAAAAATATACAATATTATTGATGAAATATTTTATTTTTTTGCCGGAAATTAAGGATTTAAAATTTGTATGGTTAATGTTTTATTTAAATGGATACTTATACTTCCTTCAAAAGAGAAATTTTAATTTTATTATTTAGAAAATGTGGTTAATTTATATATAAAAACAATTGATTATAGTGAAAGTAATGTTCATTATTTTTGCTAATTACTATAATATTTGAAAATTAATATATCAGAAGGATAATAATTGGATATTTATTAAAACATATTTTATTTATTAGATAAAATAGGAGAAAAAAGAATATAAAATATATTTGATGAATATAATTTGGATATTATTCCTTTGTTCTTTGTTGTTTAAGATTCTTTAAATATTTTTCAAAACTTAATTAATTCTGGATATACTAGAAGTGTTTGTCAATTAATAGAAGAAGTTATTTAATATTTAATTAATTATGAAAAAATAAACATTGTTTTTGAAATTTACACCAAATTTATTATTAATAATCTTATTTAAAAATTATAAAAATAATAAACATTTAAATAAACGCTTTAAATATTAAATATTACAATGTTTGGTTTTTAACTAGTTTATTCTTTGAAATAATCACATTTAGAATTACTATTTTAATAGTTTTTAGCAAGTTTAAGATTTTCAGAATAATCTTTAAAAAATTAGTTTTATGCATATTTTTAATGTATTTTAATTAAAAAAGCACTCATAGGAGATATTGATAGAATATATATTTTAAATTTAGAATAAGAGTTAAGAAAAATTAAAAATTTACATAATTTATAAGGATGTGATATTTAAGAAAGAGAAATATTAGTTCTTCTAATTATAATATTAGAAAGAATACAAAAAAAAATCTTGCTATAATTTGTGTGGGTTAACAAATTTAGGATAGTCTTGTTATATGAATAGCTTTATTTAATGCTTATATAATTTTAACAAATTTCGTAAATTTGTTTTAAGTAAAAAAAAAAAAAAAATTATTTAAAATAAAATAATTTTTAGATGCTTAAATTTAATTTTAAACCTAATTCTTAATTTAATCTAATAATGACAGTTTTTAAGAATTGATACGTTTATTTTTTTAAATGTATATTTTCAATTAAAATCAATTCTAAAAATCTAATAAAGAAATAAACCCTTTTTATTTTAAATAATCTCTCCCAGAACCTTTTAAATCAAGCTATGAATAATGGGATGCTGCAGAATTTGGTCGTTGTTATATTAATTATTTAGAAATATGTATGTAAGGTACAAAATATGAGAATAAAATAAATAAATTATTTTTTGGAAAACAAAGAAATACAATAACATGTTTAAATAAATAATGTGGAGCAAAGAATAGAACAGAAGAAAAAATATCAGATATTCATGTAAGATTCTAAAAAAACTCTTTATTAAATTAAATTAGCTCTTTTTTTAATTAAAGAGAAGATTTAATAGAAATGATTGTTAACTCTTTTAAAAAGAATAGTTTGATGAAGATAATCCTTATTTTTGTGAAAAATGTAACTAGAAAACTTGCGCTTTTAAAAGATTAAACTATATTAACATTACCTCCTTTTCTAGTTATTACAATTAATAGATTTTAATATGATTAATAATAGTAAATTAAACTTCTTAATAAAACTAATTTACCTAATAAAATCAATATTAAAGATGATATTTTCCCTTAACTTGATATTGAAAGTAATTCTGATTTAGTTAATTACGATTTACATGCTTTTGTTGTTCATTTGGTATTTTTTTTTATCATAATAAAAAAACAATTATTTTTTATATAATAGGGTTCTTAAAGTAATAAAGGGCATTACATTACTTATTTAAGAAATTTAAAACATGGGACTAATAAAAATTGGAATCTTTTAGATTACGGTATGATTATTAATTTAAATACCAATGACGCTAATGAAATAGCAAAAAATTTTGCGTATATATATATATATATGTATATTATTTTAAATTATTCTTTATGTTTTAATTTAAAAGAGAATCTGAAACGCCTTACATGCTCTTCTATGTAAATAAAGCAGAGAAAAAATTAGATTTAGAAAAAAATACAGGAGATGCCAGTGTTTTAAATAAAGCTCGATAATAGAATGGATATTTTTATGAGGTAAATTCATAATCTGATTAAAAATAATAATTACAATGCTCAAATATAAACTAAAGTTTTAGTAATTATACTACTAATAATTAATATAATAATGGAAACAGATTTCCAAATACATATAAAAAAAAATGAAAAAATAATTTGTTTAAAAATTAAAATATATTAATTTATTTTAAAATTATAGTTTAAATAATATATATAAAAAATTATTTATTCTAAAAATAATAAAATCAATTTTTAATATTTAGAAATATAAAAAAAAACTTTATAATATAAATATAAAATTATATAACATAAGCAGCTTAACTTAATCTGAAAATAAATCAAAAAAAATGGGTTAATTAAATTCAAAATACAAGAATAATTAAGTATGTAAAACTTATTTTTAGTTCCTTTGCTATTATCATAAGTCTATATTTTATATAAATTATCTCCCCAAATATTAAATCCTTCAGAAATTTTAAACATTTCCGAAATAACATAACAAGATATTCGAATAAAAATAATTCAATCCAAGAACTTTATTATAAAAATTTATAATCAAGAGTTCCACCAACATAAGGTCCGATAATATTTGAAAGAAAAGCAAACGAAAATCAAGTAGCTGAAATATTCAAAATATGCATAACAGGAGGTCCTTGTGGAGGAAAGACAACAGGACTTGTCTATATCCAAGAAAAAATGCGAGAATATGGTTTTTAAGTATTTATAGTTCCTGAAGCAGCTACATTAATAGCAAATGGAGGAGGAATGCTTTGTATGGACAAATACAATAAAACATAATAAATTGCTTTCCAAACAAATTTGTTAAAGTTATAAATTCGCCTAGAAAACGTAATGGTATCAATTGCAAATTTGACAAAAAAAAATTCTATTATACTTTGTGATAGAGGTCTTATGGATGGATCAGCCTATATGGATTCTCAAGATTGGAAATAAATGCTCGATATGAATAGTTTAAATGAAGTTCTTATGAGAGATGATAGATATGATTTGGTTTTGCATCTAGTTACTGCTGCAGTTGGGGCTAAATAGTTTTATAATTAAAGAAACTCTGCAAGACATGAAACTGTTGAAGAAGCAGAACGTATAGATCAAAGAACTTAATAAGCTTGGTTAGGACATCCAAATCATTAAATTATAGATAATAATGCAAAAAATTTTGAAGAAAAATTACAAAAAATGCTAAAATTAGTCAAAAAATGTGTTGGTATTGAAGCTTCTGAAAAAAAATACACTAGAAAGTAATTTTTTATATATTTTTATTTAATTTAAAAAAAAGGTTTTTACTTAAATAATATGAAAATTTAGTTCCTAATCTTCCTTCAGATTTAATTACTTAAAGATTTTTTATTGATGATATATTTCTTGATTCAGATAAAAATGTAGATAAAGAAAATAGATAATTTAGAAAAATAAGAAAAAGAGGTTAGAATTAAAATTATGTATATATACTTTCGGCAGTTATTACTTAAAAATAATAATAATAATCATAAATCTAATACAAAAAATTGCTAAGTTATAAAGAATATGCTTTAATGTTAAGTAATGCAGATCCAAAAAGAAATAATTTACTTACTATAAGAAATATCTTTATGTATTAGAATAATAGATTTATGCTTGATACTTATTTGAATGTCAAAGAAGGTTTCAGTATTTTGAAAGTTCTTTTAGAAAGTGAAAATTAAAAATTCCAATTACCTCCTTTTTTAGATATTGTTTCAGAAGTTACAAATGACTAAGGATATAAAAGATCTTATATTTCTAAAAAAGATTGGTATTTTTCATAATAAGATGAAAAGTTAATTTAGAAAAAAATATTGAATAGTATTTTATATGTTATCTATTTAGATTTTTAATCTAACTTTATTTAAAAAAAAAATATTTTAAATAAATTATCATTACTTTATTTTTATTCTTTTGTTTTTCTTATTAATGTAGTTAAATTATATTTTTATATTTAATTTTAATTAAATGATTATTTCTATAATTATTGTTTTAGAAGTTTTATTCTGATTTTATAATTTAATAAAGAAATAAGAAACAAAGATTACTTAATAAAAATTTTGTTAATAGAATCCTAAAATTTAAACGATTCTAAAGACAAAAAAAAAATTAAATATACAAAACTATAAAAATAATATATTTTGTAAAAAATAATAATTTTATTTAAATGAAAATTTATTAAATTATTTATAATTAATTTGATTGTTAAAATTTCTTATATAAACTATTTTTTATATGTAATTAGATACTTAAAGTATAATCTAATAAAATCAGACACTTAAGCAATAATTAAAAATTGTAGATAAAGAAATCTAACATTTAAAAAATTAAATTAGCTAAGAATTAAATATATAGACAATTTAAGAAAAATAAATACAAGAATTAAAATAAATTATGAAGAATCTTTAAGAATAAAATACTAAATATAATCAATATAAAAGAAAAGAAATAATATAATAATAATAAAATAAAAAAGTTAAACTAGTTTAATAAGAGGAAATGTTTTTAAAGTAAAATACATATATTGAATAATAAAGCAAAAAAATGCATTAAGTAAATATAATTTATCACAATTTAATATGAGTTTTTTTTTTTTTTTTGATATTGGTAAAGAGATAAAAAAATTATTGATAATTTAAAATTTTATTTTTAAGGTTAATAAAAAAAAAAACTATATATAAGTTTATATATTTTTTTTTAATTATAAGTTAGATTAAACTTGAGAAAAATAAAAAAACTTCTAGTTTTTCAAATAAATATTTTACAACAAATTAAAAAATATTTATTTTAAAATATCAAAGAATAAATCATTAAATAATAATAATATTTATGTTTTTTTTAAACAATTATAATAAAATTTCTATTAACTTAATAAGATATAAATAAAAAAAATAGTTAAAAATAAAATAATTATTTTAAAAATTATAATAAAGATAACATAATTTTATCGAGCTTAATAAAAATATAAATTTTATTAAACTATCTTTTAATATTATATATTAAATAAAATATATTCTTTTTTCATTAAATTTTTTTAAAAACTAGTACTTCTTCATTAAATAAAATTAATATAAATTTTACTTTATGAATTTCTTTAAATTTAATACAAAATTTATATAAAATAATATTTTTAATAAATACAAATAAATTTTATTTTTATAGAAAATTAATAAAAAAATCATTTTTAGTTTTTTAATTTATTCATTTAATTTAAATTTTTTTCAATTTCTTCATTAGTTGCATTAGTAGGAGGCTTATCATTTATTAATACTTGCATTTTTAATAATTTTATACTAAGTTTTTTATTTTCTTCGTCAATATCCTTTTAAATATAAAAAATATATTTATAAAATAAAAGTTACTTTTTTATCATGTAAATAATTTTCACATAAATTTTCTAAATTTTCGAATCTATTTTTCCATATTTAATTTTGTACTTCAAGATCTTCGATTTCTTTATTAACTTAAGCAATTTCATGAGTATATCTCTATTCATACCTAATTTTTATAATTATTTGGTTTTTTAATTTTTTGTTTTTATAAGAAAAATATGAGTGTACATTTTATGAAGTCTTTAATGGTCATGTCTCATTTATTCTTTTTAATTTCTTAAAACCATATGTTATTATTCTAACATAAATATTTTATATTCCATATCTTCAATGTGCAACTCCCTTTAAGTTTTTTAATTTTTTAACTTGTAAAGCTTTTGTTCCATTTCATTTAAAGTTGTTTTTCTCAATCTATTATCATTTAAATCACCTATAATAATTACAATTTTTAATAAAAAAATATATATTTATATATTTAACTTAAATATTTAGATCCTGCTGAATTTAAAATATGGTTTTGTTATGTTTATAAAATTTTTTAAGATTAACTTAAATCTTATTAGTAAAAATATTATTAATTTTCTTATTAAATATTTTATGAAATCGTTTGCATTTTATTGTCTTAAATTTAATTTATCATGTTTTTAATAGAATTATCTTATCCTTTAATAGAGTTTTAATTCAACATTAAAAATATTATATTTATTTTCTAAAAAAAAAATTAATTATATTATATTATATTATAATAGTAAAACTGATTTTCAAAAAATAAATAAGTTTATATAATTTTATTTAATAAAATTAATTTATTTTATTATTAAAAAATAAAATAAAAATATATTTATTTAACTAAATAAACACATTTTTATTCTTTATGATTATATTTTATTTTTTTTATGAAAAATAAAACAGTTAAAATAATGATTTTTCTAATTTTCTAATTTCAAGCTGAATTTATTTCTTTTTCTTTACTTTTTAACAATTAATCTAATTCATTAATTAATTTTTGATGAATATTTTCAATTTCTTTTTCTCCGTTTTTTATAAAATCTTCACTTTCAAATTTTTTAAAAGGTTTTAACTAAAAAAAATAACAAAAATCAAAAATATAAATAATTTAGAATAAAAATATAAATGAATACTTATTCTAATGCTTCATGCCTTTATTTTCTTAAAACTAATTTTGCTTTTTCTGAAACAGCTTTTATTTATTTAATAATTTATTATTTTACTTCTTTTGTATTTCCTCCAAGCATTGTACATAAGATATTTTTTCCTTCTTTTTTTATCTATAAATTAAGATCTGAATTTTCTAATATCTTTATTTTTCATAAATCAAAATAAAATTTATAAAAATATAATTAATAATAATATAAAAACTTTTATTATTGCTGAAACCAAAGATTCATCATAAATATTTAATTAAACTGTATTCATAGTCTTAGAAATAATTTAACAAAGTTCTGTAATTTATGTTTTTTCTCCGTATGCTGTAATTGTGTATTTTTCAAACATTTCAGCTGTTAATCTTCCTATTTTAAGTTTTGTAAAATCAATTTTTATTTATTCAATAGTTTTCTGCATTTCTTTTTCTATTTAGTTTGTATCAAATTCAATATTTTTTTCCAATCTCTCTTCTTTTTCTTTTTATTTTTCGATTTTTTCAGTTTTCTTTTTGCCTGGTTTTACTGCAAATTAATATTTAATTGTATTTTATGTTTACATATATTAAAATAAAGGAGATATTTGAATAATATTTTAAAGATAAAGCTTTTTTAAAAATCTTGGTTTTAGAGATTTTTTCAATGCTAATTAAAAATTTTTAAACATTTTTTTTTTAATAATAGTTGTCTTTATTATTATTTATTTTTATATTTTTTTAATTTAATTAAAATAATAATAAAAAAAAGTATTAAAATATTTATAAAATTTTAAAAATGGATGTATAATTTTTAAAACTAATCATTTATAAAATAAACTATATGTTAAAAAATAATTTTCTTTCATTTTTTATTTATGTTATTTTAAAAAAACATTCAAATTTAAACTTTTCTAAATTATAAATTTAAAAATAAGTTGTAATATTTTTTAAATTTTTTTTTATAATAAATATATTTACTATAATATTATTTTTTATTTTAAATATTATGTATAATTTTTTGAATTATTATTTTATTTTTATTTTTTGTCATTTTATTTATGGTATTAAAGACATAATAAAATATATCATTATAACTTTTTTAATAATAAATTAAATATTTTAAGTATTTATTAATTCATTTATGCCATCATTCTTATAATTTATCTCTTTAATTTTGAAATTTAAAAACTAATAATAACAAAAAAAATCTTATTAAAATAAAACAAAAATTATAAAAAAAAGCAAAATAAATAAAAGTATATTTATTTTAAAATAGAAATAATTAATATAAAAAATAAAATAAAAAAATAATGTCACTTGAATTTACTGAATCTTTATATACAAAAAACGCCTAAAAATAATACGAATATTTAGACTAGGAATAAACAACCTTATTTCATTCACAATCAGAAACAATAGATTAGAGTTCTTTTAATGGCAATAGTCAAACAATAACAGATACGGAAAATGCATTTCCAAAAAAAACAGCTCCTTTATTAGTATCATCTAAGTTAATAGACTTTAAGCAGTTATTATCCAAGACATAAATTAAGGAATATGAATTAACGTAATAAATAAAATAAGAAGATATAATAAAATAACATTAAATATTATATAATTTCCAAAAACTTAAACAAGAAAAAAAATATACAAAATAATCATAAGAAATAATACAAAATATCCTTTAAAATAAACAAAATAAACAAGTTTAAAATACCGTGACAAGTAATAAAGTGTCTCAAATATTAAGTTAACCTTCAGTAAGGGAAAAATATGAATACTTACTTAAAAATGAAGAAAACAGCTTTATATTACCATTTTCTTATAGACAATTATTAGAAATTTTCGATAAATTTGACGATACTGTTTTTTATTTTATTTAAAATAAATAGAAAACATTTTTTAACAATATAAAATCAAATTTGTTTTAGAAATTTAAAATTTAAGTTACTTTAAAGAATATAAGGTAGTTTATGTTTATTTATCCTAATTGTTATAGTGTAAAATGGTAAAAAGATGAATTTTACAATTAAAATTATGATATATATATTTAAATTGAGAAAAATATAGATGAAGTTGATTAAAAATAATAAGAAAGATTATAAAAAATGAAAGAATATTTATTTGAAAAAGTAATTTTTCATCATAAATAATTTCTAAATAACATTGGATAAGAAAACATGCTTTAAATTTTAACTGAAAACAAGTTGTGGCATTCAAATTTCGATGTATAAAAAGTTCCTTAAATTGAAGAAAAACTGTTTCCTTTAATGCCTACGTAAGCAGAAGAGATAAATGAGAAAACTATTAATAATACAAATAATATAGTTTTGTAGAAATTAATAGAAAATAAAATAAAAAATGTTAATATTGAAGAAATAAAAAATGCCTTTTTACAATAAAAAAATTTAGATAAAAATTTTTGTTTAAGTGAAAGAATTTTTAAAATAATAAGATAAAAAGAAGAAGATTTAGCTAAAGAAAAATTGGAAGGATAATTAAAAAATATTCATAACAATAATGTGATTCAAGTTAAAAAAATTATTGAAATCGTTTACATATACTTCATTTAAAAAAAAGTTAGTAACATTTTCTATGCTAATGTTATTGATTATGTTTCTAAAAATATAAACTTAGATAAAAAAAGTATTATTAATATTATTGATAATCTGATTATTGATTTTAACTTTTGGATCACTGTTGTGGGTAGTAAATAAGGATAAATCATCAAAATTAATAAAAGTATTCCTTTATAAAAAGTACTTTAAGAGTTAAATGCCTGATATTTTTTTATCATGAATTAATATTGATGATTATTAATTGTTATTAACAAAAAAAAGCATATATTAAAATTATTTATTAAATACAATTGTCTTTTATATTTTAGCTTTTTATTTACTATTTATTTATTATTTATTATTTAGTCTTAAGTTATTATTTAATATAGTAATAAATCTATATTAATATAAAATTATTTTATAATCTTTAATTATATAAAAAATTTCTTAATTATTTTTTTATAAAATATTATAATTTTTTTATTTAAAAATAAAAATAAATATTTATATTTATCATAAAAACAAAAACTTTGTTTAAAAATAAATATTAAAATATGATAATTAAAACAGAATATATAATTTTAAATTAATATATATTATTTTTTTTTCTCATAAAAATATTTTTATTTAAATTTATATTATCATAAAATCATAATATTTTGTTAAAAATTTTATTTTTTTTAATACTTTATGATTATCTAAAGCTTAAAATTTTAGAATAATTAAAAAATTATAAAAATAAAAATATTGAAAAAAGGTTAAGAAAATAGAAAAAAATTATGATAAAATATTATTTTTAAAACTAAAGAAATAAATATAAATTTAAAAAATAATTATAATTTTAAAAAATAATCAACAAACATAAAAAAAAACATAAAAAATAACATAAATTATAAATAAAATGTCCTAGCCAAGTGAAAAAAATCTTGAAGTAATAAAATCTTCATAAAATGCCAGCATACCATCTCTTCAGGAATTACCTGAAGAATAAAAAAAACGTAAAACATAAAAGTCCTAACTTTAAGTGTCGCAAAAGTCCCAAAACAAACATCTAAATAATCACTCAGAAATCCAAGAAGATTTTACTAATATAAATATGAGTTCAGCAGCTCGTAAAAAGATAAACATGGACACCCAAATAACTCCAGGTTACAAAAAATTTGTAATAGATGAGAATAATGCAGCCTATGATTGTATAAAAGGTATGTTTACACGAGAAGAGATCGAGGAAGCATTCAAGACATTAGATTATAAAGAAAATAACTAGATAACAAGTGAAGAATTAACCTTTTTTTTAGAATATATAGGCGAAAAAGCTACTGAAGAAGAAATTGAAGAGATGATAAAAATGTGTGATTTAGAAGGTAATGGATATGTCACAAAAGATGAATTTATTAAACTTGCAAGTGGTTAAAGTTTAGCCCCAATAGGATAATCTTATCCACCTTCAGAAGAACTTTTATAAAAGCAAGAAATTATGAATAATTTAAAATTGGAAGATTTACAATTATAAAAATATAGATCTCCAAATAGTAATTAAATTTAGAAAAATGGGAAAAAAGATAAAGCAGAAAGCATAATTAATATTAAATCTACTAATAAATAAAATTTTAGTAATAATGAAAACTAATAAATTTAAACAAATAATTTTACTGGAATGACATTTTTTTCTAAACCAGGAATATCGAATTTTAATACCAATAATAACATTAGTCAATTCAATAATTAACCCTAAAGTTAAAAAGTAGTTACTAATATTATAAATAATACAAGTGGATCTTAATTAGGAGAAGCCATTTTAACTAAAAAGGCAATAGAAAATAAAAAAAAAAACTATTAAAATGGCAAAAGGATTATGGAATAAATTAATAAAAAATAAAAAATGTAACCGAAATGTTAAATAAAGTAAAATAATTATATTTAGATCAAAATTATGGTTAAGAAAATAGCGAAAGCGATGCTTTAGATAAAATTGCAAATATTTATTACAAAAGTTATAGAGATTTTTTAGGAGTATTTTCTTTATAAGATTCTTAAATTCATTAGGAAATTTTTAATATATGTAAAATCTAATACTAATAATAGCTATAATAAAAAAATAATAATGATGAAGATTATGTTAATTTATAAGAATTCATTATTATGCTTATTGGGTCTATGGATATTAAATCAATTGGAAAATATGATTTAGCTTTTGATATTATAGGTAAAGATGCAATTGATCTCGAAGATTTACTTTATATTGAAAGAACACTAACTTTTAAAAATGAAATAGCTGATACTAAAATTGAAGAAAAATTTAAAAATCATAGACATAAAAAAGAATATTTAAACAAAACTTATGGCACAAAGTAAATGGATAAATAATTATATTATGATATTGTTAGTAGCTATCCTACTTATTTTTAAGCTTGAATTTTTTATTTTTATTTTTATTTTAATTTTATTTTTATATTTTTTGTTATTTTATTAACTAATCTAAATTTTTTATTCTAAAAAAAAATAGATTTATTACGAAAACATTTTTAAATTTTTATATTTTATTTTATCCTTTTTTTTTTGTTTTTTTTAATGAGTAATTTTATTAATTATTTCCAGAATAAGTTTGATTTAGTTTGTAAAATTTAATATGAAAACAAGAAGCTATTTGATGATTTTATTGATATTTTTTAAGAAAGAGTTTAAGCTGAAGAAACTTATTCTAAAACAATGGAAAAATTAACGATATAAATTTAAAAATTATAATGCTAAAAGCCTTCGTAAAAAAATTAAATTTATAAACTAAATAAAATTATTATGTTAAAAAAAAGAGGAATAACAAGCATTCTTTCAGGGATAAAATCAAATTTTATGAATAGATCTATTTAAGCAAAAGTTTTATATGAATAAATATAAGTAGATATACTTGAAAGATTAAGAAAAATATCAAATGAATAAAAATTTTCTTTAAAAAAATTAATTCAAGAAGGATAAAAATAAGAAAAAGAACTAAAATCTGCACAAGAAAATCTTTAGAAAGCAAAACAAAAGCTAATCAAACAAGAAAATGAATTTTAAAATTAATAAATATTAAATGAAATGTATAAAATCTTACAAACTATACCGCAAGAAAAAAAAGTAAAATAAGATCAAAAAGCAAAATAATTAGCATAGGAATTAAAAGACTTAGATATTTAATATAAATATTTTACAAAATAAATAAATGATTAAATAGAATTATATTAATATCAAATAGTTTATTTTTATTTTAAAAAACTAAATATGTAGTTTTTTTTGTTAAAAAAAAGGCGCCTATTCTTAATAATTTAGAATTGTTTGAAATTGAAAGAATTAATAAAATGAAAGAAGCAGCAATGAGATATAATGTTTTTGAAATTTCTTATATAAAAAATATTGAATATGAAATAGAAAATATTAGTTAAGTATATCTTTTTATTTATAATATTTATAATTTTAAAATAAAAATTATTATTTATATTTAATTAAAAAAAAAAATATTAGAAAGTAACTAATATTAATGCATAAAAAGATATACAAGAATTATTTAAAATTAATAATATTCAAAAATAATAACTATAATAAGTAAAATACGAACCACGTAATTCGTTTATAGAAAAAATGCTTGAATTTTTAGAAAATAGAACATAATATGAAAATATTGATAACCAAATAAAAACTTATATTAAAAAATAAAATAGTTAATAAAATTTAGTAAAAATAATAAAAGAATGTGAATTATTATTCGATAAAATAAGTAAATAAAATAGTTAAGAATATTTTGTTGCAGTTTAAGAAAATTTAAAAATAAATGATATGTCAATAAATGTTTGGATAGAACTTTTTTAAAATGAAAGAAATTAATTAAGAAATTAAATTAATAATATTCAATTTGATAATTATTAAAAAGTATTTAATAGTATTTTAGATGAAGTATAATAAATAAATATTAAAAAAAAATAAAAAAATATAAATATATAAAAAAAATATTTAAATTTTATTTATTTATATATAAGTATATATTAAATTTTAATAAAATATATATAAATAAAAATATATAAATATATATATATATATATATTAAATATATAAATATATTATAAAAATTTAGTGTTTGAAGAATAGGGATTGTATAAATGCTAAAAAAATTATTATTCTAAGTTTTTCATTCTTTTCTTATTCTGATAAATATTACAAAAAAATTAATAAGGATATTTAGCAATTATTTAGTAATTCTATTTATAATTTATATCAAATAAAAATATTAATATTTATTAAAAAAAGATGTTTAAATAGAATAATAGCCAGAAAAAATATTCATTTAATAATATATTAAGAATAACTCTTTATTTAAAACCAAAGATTTTTGGGAAAGCTTTTTAATTCATAGTATTTTATAAGAACTTTTCGAAAATAGTAGTACAAAAAAAACGAATTCCATTTAAGAAAAATTTATTATGTTTGCTTAATTTTCTTTGGTTATTTATTTAATTTTGATTTTTGATTTTAGCAAACAAGAATCTAAAGATATTATTATTTATTATTCTAAATTTTTTAATTTATATGATTACTAAATTAAGGAACTCATAGTAATTTCTTTTTATTTTAATTTCTTTTTTTAATTTATTTTAGAACTAGTTGGGATATTTTTATTCTGATGATGACTTTAATTAAGAAAATTCAAATTAAGAAATATAAATTGATGAAAGTTAAGGAAACTTTTTAAAAGATTTAGGATAATTTTTGAGGATATGAGTTAAAGTATTACTATTTTCAAATATAAAATATAATTTATAAAATAAATTATCATAAAATATATCGTAAATTCGTAAATCTTAAATTATCTTATCTATATATGGGCTTTTAAATTTATACTAGCATTTTAATATAAGTTTTTAATATTTTTTTATAATTTTTAAAATATTTATAATAAATAATTAAACACCACCATAAAATGTATGTTTTTTGTTTTGGGAGGAGGTGGCAAAAAGTATATAAAGAAAATATTTTTTTTACAAACTTTTTAAGTTTAGTGTGTTAAGTATACAAGAGAAATAACAATTTTATTTCAATTTATTCTCTTTAATATATTTAAATAAGATTTAACTTAATTAAAAATTAATATTTTAATTAAATTTATGAAAAATATACAAAGTAATAAATATTTGATTTAAACTTAAAAATAAATTACTTCAATAAAGTTAAAATTATATTTCAATTAAATACAAAAAATCTAAAAAAAGGCGTAGTTATTCAAAAGAATAAAAAAATAAAATATAATCTAGGAAATATGGTAATAATAATTTAAATAAAAATAAAGTTTTGAAGTATTTTTTATAAAATTGTAATATTATAAAATATAATATTTTAGATTTATTCGTATTCAGATTTAAAATTGATTAAGAAACGATTAAAAAATATTATTAATAATATATAATAAACATCTATATATAAATAAAATATCTAAAATAATTCTTTTCTTTAACTATTATTGCTTAATAATACAAATCACATTTAAATTTTATTTTAATTTAAAAGCTTTATTAAAAAAAATGGTTGAGTTTTCACTGACTCAAATTTAAAAAGTATCGCATTTTTCGAAATATCTTATATTTTTGTTTTCTCTAGATTTTTTTTAGAAATTATTGTTTTTGTGTCTTTTTTTATTTTCAGAAATTTATGATTTCTGTTTATATGCGTGGTGCAATTTTTATTTTTTCGGAAATTTCTGATTTCTGTGACTTTTTAAAGAAATAAATAGCAATTTATATTTTTTTCAATTTCACTTGATCTTTTAAAGTATTGAAGCATTCTTCAAAATAATTAAGTTTGTGATAAAGTTTCGAAATTAATAATATATTATGTATTTTTTCTAAAAACTTTTGAATTCTAAACATAAATACATATAAATTCAATTTCTTGATAATTTTTTGTAAATCTATGATTTGAGCTTATAATAAATAAATTTAATAGATTAATTATAAATTAGTTTAATTTGATACTTAAACTTTTACTTATTATAAATATTTTAAAAAAATGCTTAATATTGAAATGAAATAATATTTATTAAAATCTAAATAATAATAAGAGTTTGGTTCAAAAATAGATCAATTAAATATTTTATTTTCTTTTTTTTTTAAAATAAAAAAATAATATCAAAAAATATAATTAATTTTATCTATAAATTAATTTTATTTAAAAATAGTACTTTCTATCCCAAAAAAAAATGTAAATAAATCCAATCTAATATTTTGATTAATTTTTTGAAAATATAAAAAAGCCAATAATTCTTGATGGTTCTGTTGGGTCTTTACTGGAACTAAAATTCAGAGAAAAATAAACAGAAAATAATTGGATGAATCGAACTATAATTGAGAATGCAGAAGAAATAACATAAATACATTTATCATATTTAAAAAGCGGTGCACAAATAATAACATCATATACATTTCGAACAAATCCATTTAATACAAAAGGATATTTTGAATCTAAAGAACTAGTTTAAAAAGCAGTAAAATGTGCACAAAATGCCAAATAATCATACTTAAAAGTTCAAAATATTTAAAAAAATATATATATCGCAGGGAGTAATGGACCAATAAATGAATGTTATGATCCTAATTCAATAAAAGGATTAAATTATGAAGATATTTATTAAAATCATGAAAAACATATATAATATTTGGTAGACTCAGGAGTTGATTTGATTCTTAATGAGACTTTTAGTTAATTTATTGAAATAAAATTTATAAACGAAATTTGTTTTTAAAAAAAAATTCCATATATTATTTCTCTATTTACAGATAATAATGGGTATCTTTTATCTGGAGAAAATGTTTTATAAGCTATTTCATTATGTTTAGAATATAAACCAATTTGTATTTGCTTTAATTGTATTTTACCTGATATATTAGTTAATAAAATTCTTAAAAATAATATTGAATTTTTTAAGGCTAATAAAGACTTTGCTTGGGGATTTTATTTCAATTGCGGAGGTTCAGATTATTAAAAAGAATTTTCTGAATTAGATAGAATTACAAAAGAAGAACTAATTTTTTTTTTAAGCAAAATTAAAAATATGGAACTTAATCCTTTTATTACAGGATTGTGTTGTTGCAGTGATCATATTTTAATTTAAAATTTATTTGAATATTATAATTGAATATTTTAAAAAAATATGTATTAATTTTTTTTATATTTATTTATGTTAAATTTTGTAAATATACTAAAATTATATAGAATTATTTGATTAATTATGAGATAAAAAAATTAAATAAAATAAATTTCATATCATTTATTATATTGAATTCATTTAATTAAAAAAATTGGAATATAATTAATATATATTTAAATTTTTTTATAAAAAACGATAAAATATTTAATATAATAACGTTAAAAAATTAAATATACAATATATT